AAATGAATTCCATGGAAAATTTAACATATCAAACAACCTAAAATGTGGAAAATGGAAAACGAATTTCAACTTCCCTAAAAAATTGGATGCTATCAAACAGGCTCTTAGTGAAAAATAAAATGGAGTATAATATAAGCATCTTTTTGGTGAAGATTAAAATAAGATTTATATAGATTTTGATAAAAATTAATGAAAAATGTGGTTGAAAAGTTGCAAGTCTCATGAAATGTATGATTAAAATTAATTGTTGACTTTAATTAAAATTAAAATATAAATTTTATTTTCCACCAAACAGTGACTAAGGGGGAAAAAAACCCATCCCATCTTTGATATTGATCCCGCTAGATGCCATGGTCATTTTCGTTTTTTTTTTTTTAATCATTTTCTTGCTAACTTCAATTTTTAATTTCTTAATATTTTTAATGTTTCTTAAGTTTTTCTTTCTTAATTTTTTTCCTTTTATTTTTTCGTTTTTTATTCAATTCAAAATGAGGGCTAAAACGGGGATTTAAATAAAAATATGATACATTTTTACATTTAAATGGACAAAAAATCATCTATTGATGACCAACCTGTTACAAAACTGAAAGATGGAGGATTTGCTTGTAACTGTAATGGTTAGATTGGTAATTCTCAAAAGGGAAATTTACAAAAATTGTCAATTTCATGCTTGCCAATTGAAAATTGTCCAATTTTGATAGCTCTTGTAAAAATGGCCAAATTTGGTACAAAATTGTCTATTATACCTTCAATGAAAAATGAAGTATTTTTTTCCAGTTTGTCACGAATTTTGAGAAGAACAAGTAGCTTCCATGAGAAACTACATTAATACTAACTAATACATAATATATTTATTTGATTTTATTATCTATTAGGTATTGACCAAGAATTTTGAGAAAAATGAAGAACATGAAGTAGAAAACTCATTAATACTAAAAAATAATTATATGCTTCCAATTCATAAAAAAATCATATAATTTTATTTCGAAAAATGTAATCTTATCCAATTTTGCAGTTGATTAGGCTTTCCACAATTTCAGTAGAAGGTAATTTTTTTTTTGAAATCTTATTTTTGTTAATAAGTTGTATTTAATAGTTGTTATTTCTTAACATTTCATGGCATTCTCGACATTTTAAAAGTTGTTATCGACATTTGAACCCTATTTATCTTGACACTTAACACTTTATTTGTTTAGAACGAGATTTCATTCTGAACAGTAAAGTTCTCTACATTTTATAATATTCTTGACATTTTAAGCGTACCTCTCAACATTTTATAAATGATTTATTTACTCACTTATGGGGAGAAGGGAGCATTTAATGCATGATTGACATGATACTTTTTAAAATGAGTAGTATAGATTATGTGTCAAGTTATTATTGGTCAATAAATTTTTTAATTATATAAATAATTTTATCTTCATTGTAGAATTTAAAATTGTTAATGAGGGCATTTTGGTCTATATTATAGTAAAATGGACATTGAAAAAATTTTGGACATTTTTTGCAATTTCGTCTTCTTAAAATCATCATATCGTGATGATTTGGATATTGCATGGTTCCCACTGCCCATTTCAATATAAGAAATATCATATAGTTTCGAATATTTCCCGTTCAATTATACTTTTTATAGGACCTGTATTGGTGTAAAAAAATTAATCAATTTTAATGCAATAGGTCGAATTTGCAGATTTTTTAAGTTTTATTAGGTCGCCTTGTATAGAATAAAGGGAATTTTTCATAAATGTCACTAAATTTGAAAATACACTAAAATTTGTCACTTTTATTAATTGTGTTAAAAAATGTCATCTCTTTGTGTAAATGGTCCAAATTGCTCTTAATGATACCTTTTGGGAGTATTTAGTGCTCATTAGTACTTGATTTAAATGCTCATAAATGCTATGATGTGATGATATAATTCGTGTACTATAAACATTGAATATATGTATATAATTTTTTTAAAAATTCGAAAAATGAGCATAAACCGATTTCTTCTACCATTAAAAAACCCTAACTTTTTTTACCATCTTCAAATCCTTGATCAAGAAGAAATTATTATTGAATTCATCTTTCATTTTGAGAGGTTATCATTAGGACTGGACGTAATCCGATTCGATTATAAAACCGAACCAAATCTGATTTTTCTGGTATTTAGTAAATGGAACCATCGGGTCTAAATTTAATTATGGAACCGGTCATGTTCGATTCGGTTTCGGGGTTCCGTAAAATAATTATTTTTTTTATATTACAACAATGCTATATTAATTCGACTATGACATGTTTAATCTTAACTTTTACAAAATAACGTAGTTCAATCTCATGATATCTTTTGTATCTCTCTTTATTGAGTTTTTTAATACATTTGACGGTTAAAATCACAGGAAGAAAAAGATGGCTAATTCTCAATAATAGAACGGCAGAAATGACACTAAGGTAGAATAAGAGATTTGGGTAAAATTTAGGACAATTTTATTAAATTGGGTTTGGCAGGAAATTAAAAGTAGTAAAATCATAGTTTGAGTTTGGACTAAATTAATTAGTTAGCAATTTTATGTAAAAAATAAAATAATTTGACTTATTTAAGATTAAAAAAATTAAAAAAATTCATAAGATTCGTTTCTTGGTATAGAATTGAGAGTCGAACCAAACTTGTCAATTCTTGATTTAGATACCCGTTCGGGTATTTAACTTAAGAAGAATCGCTCGGTTCGGTTCAATTCGATTTGGGTCTAGTTATATCCGATTCGATTTGGGAGTTTTATAAAAATTGCTCTCAAACACGCTCTAAGAGCTTGTTTGGGAAGAATTAAAATCCAATTAAAATTGAAAATATAGCCGTTATTGGGTCCCACACGTCTAATAAAAGTCAACTCCAACACTATATTTTCAATTTTAATCTGATTTTAATCCCTCCCAAACAAGCTCTAAAGATTGTTTGAGAAAGCTTATTGAGATTATAAGTTCGTGTGTCTAGTGAAATGTATGATAAAAATAAAAGATTTTTCATAAATATTATTAAATTTAAAAATACACCAAAATTTGTCACTTTTACTACTGATGCTAAAAAATGTCATATTTTGTGTGAAATGTCCAAATTACCCTTAGTGATACCTAAAAGTATTTAATGATAATTAATGCTTGATTTGAATGTTAATTAATGCTATGATGTGATAATTTAATTTGTGTACTATAAACATTGAATATATGTATATTATATTAGGTAATATGAAATTTTTAAAAAATTCGAAAAATGAGTATAAACCGATTTCTTCTACCATTAAAAAACCCTAACTTTTTTTACCATCTTCAAATCCTTCATCAAGAAGAAATTATTATTGAATTCATCTTTCATTTTGAGAGGTTATCATTAGGACTGGACGTAATCCGATTCGATTATAAAACCGAACCAAACTTGATTTTTCGGGTATTTAGTAAATGGAACCATCGGGTCCAAATTTAATTATGGAACCGGTCATGTTCGATTCGGTTTCGGGGTTCCGTAAAATAATTATTATTTTTATATTACAACAATGCTATATTAATTCGACTATGACATGTTTAATCTTAACTCTTACAAAATAACGTAGTTCAATCTCATGATATCTTTTGTATCTCTCTTTATTGAGTTTTTTAATAGATTTGACGGTTAAAATCACAGGAAGAAAAAGATGGCTAATTCTCAATAATAGAACGGCAGAAATGACACTAAGGTAGAATAAGAGATTTGGGTAAAATTTAGGACAATTTGATTAAATTGGGTTTGGCAGGAAATTAAAAGTAGTAAAATCATAGTTTGAGTTTGGACTAAATTAATTAATTAGCAATTTTATGTAAAAAATAAAATAATTTGACTTATTTAAGATTTA